CACCTAAGCTACTTTTTTCCCCCCAAGGGAGAAAAAAGGTCACATTTATCTTCAACTCCAGATAACTAGGACTGTAAAAGTATCATTTAAATTTGACAGCTTCATTTTTGTGATGGGGGTTTGAAAGAAGTTTAAACCACATAATTTGTATAGTCTTTAGTATACAGTTGGCTGCACTGTGCATCTTTTAACATATTAATCAGCTAATTAAACATGTAAATGTTGGTTTTATCACTGTGGTTTACTGTATTTTCCTAGTTTCATCATTGCCTTATTAAAATTTTGTTTACAAGGACACACTCGTTATGGTGAACACACACAAATGTGGCTCTCTCCCTAAATATATACTTAATAAAGCAATTTATTTTGCACATGTGGTGGTAACTAAGTATTCTTTTTCTCTGTGTAGAATTCTTAGGCCAGTTAATGTTTTCTCAGATTAACAGTAATTTTGCACCTGAAACCTGGTAAGTCCATCATGTAAAAATAATAGTATACAAAGGATTTTTTCAAAGACCTTTTCGTTCTGCTCCCTGTTAAAGGAAACAAAACAAAACCCAGAATACCAACAAACCAGGAAGTCCCAAAACAGTAGTCTAAAATAACCCTTTGAGTTCTAAGTTTCAGAACTCCCAGGGCATTGTCACTTAAGCCAACACTCTATTCCAGCTGATAAGAAAGCATGCTGTATGCCTGCAAATCCAAGTGAGTGCCCACGTGTTAAAAAAGATATGTCCTAAGGCACTCAAAGGGTTAATTATGTTTCTTTTTAGGCATATTAAGGCTCCACATCCAAATAATTTATCATTAATTTTGTAACAATTCATAGAAAGTAGCAGCAAGACAGTGCAGTGATTATTGGTTGGCACAAAGCCATGATGTTTAAGTTATTTAAACAAGATATGGCAGTTAAAGTGTGGTCCTACTCTGGGAAAAGGAAAAAAAAAAAGAAAAAAGGGGGAGAGAATAAAAAATAGTAATGTAAAATTCCTGTGGATTTTCCTGAGCGTTGTCTCCAGGACAAAGCTGTTCATCTTAAAATAATGCTTGCTCTGGGATCTGAATGTTAAAACTTATTTACCAAAAGAATCTGTACTTAGGACAAAGCTGCTCATCCATTTCACATACCATGCTCCTAAAGAAGCCTGAAAAGCTGGAAACATCAAATCACTGAATGAAGCAGATACAGCTGTGAATGTACCCATCTGTTGCTTCTTCATAGAGAATTATTTTTAAAGAGTAGAACTGCACTTTTATAGGAGAACGTAACAGGAAAGACATTTTATTTGTAACTAGTTGTGCTTAAGAAGCTTGTAACATTAGGAAAACAGGTATTTATATTCATTATTTTTTAATGAAGCATTTGTAAAATTCTCAACATACCACATATATAAATGCAAATATATGTATTTAAAGTCAGAATGAATACCTAAAGAAACCACACCTTACGGGATCAAAATTATAAATCCCAATGTAAGCACATGTATTTAAAGACACCAAACCGTCTGCTGAAATTAGCTAATCTTACATCTTAGCTCAGAGCAGTACATCCGTAATACACTGTCCTTGTGTTTTACTTTCCTCCTGTAACTGACTCCGCAATTCTGTACACTCTACTGGACCATGATAAGATAAAATCTCTACCATTCCAGCAATAGTTACTAAACCATCTTACTTACAGTGTGTTTGTCTATTGTGAGCTACAGCAAGTAGCGAAATTAACCCCACAAACTAAGTAAATGCTTTAAAAAAAAAAAAAAAGCAAAAGCAAGACAATTATTTCCTTTGGTTTACTTCTACAGCCCATTGTTTGAAGATTTTTACTGCAAAGAAGCTGCCCATTTGTCTGCAATATTAATTGCAATGTTTCCCTAATTCTGCATATAACAGAATGGAAAGCTCCAACCCACTGAACTAATTCTAGAAAAGAGCTTTAAATTTGAAAAAACAATTTTAACTGGTTACTTCATAAAAATAAAGCCATTCAAAGGCAGATGCTGGATTCTTTCAAATAACCAAAGTATACTTTTGTCATTGATCTTTACACAAAGTTTTACCAAAAAATCTAAAGATACAGCAAATTGTTTTATTAGACATTAATATAATCAAATGAAAGAAAAATATCCAGTTTTTAAAAAGTAAGATAAATATTATGACATAGGTTCTGGTGTAATTTACTTAGTTCAGCATGGTCAACGACAGCAAGGCTGTCGAAGAACAGAGGCAAAAGAAATGGACGACACCTTGTATGTGAAGAGAGATCCAAGTGTAGGCCTAAGGCAACAAGGAGATGGGAAAGGAGGAAAAAAAAGCCAACCTTAGCAGAGAAAAGGAAGGGCGAAGCAAAAAGATAACACAAGAAACACAATAAATGGAACTGATGCTTCTGGTACGGTGGCTGAGCCAGGTACATGATTAAGCAGCACAGCATCTTGCAAAAAATATTTTCCTAGTGTTTTTACAGACAGAGCCTTTATTAAAATACATTTCCAAAAATGCTGGTGTATAAGCCAAAAACATACACTTCGTTGAATACCCTTTTAAAGGCATAATCATTTATGGTCCACAATTAAACAACAACAATGAAAAACACACCCCCCCCAATTCACATTTAACCAACAGGTTTGACAGTGGTTTTAAGCAGCAAGGTGTTTAGGGAGAGTTATTAGTGGCCCTCACAGACTCGGCACTTAGACTGGTCCTGCTGACTTCAAGTCTACACCTACTTTTAGACATCCCTGTTTGTAAACACAGGATTGTAGGTAAGGATCCCATACTGTGTATGCACTAATTCTACAAGTATCCCAAACACTCCTCCTTGCTGTAGGTCTAAAATTCCTGACATGAAATTCTATTTCTTTGAAAAATTAATTCCCATCTTCATTCAATTTATTATACAATGCTGATGTATGCATTGCATAGTTTTTTAAGAAATCTTGAGTGCCTCTTCTGCCCTCTCCACATTGTATCTTGACTGTATCCCTTCCATGAAGAAACCTGATCTTTTATGTTCACTCATTACAGCCCTTCTTAGATAAGAACCTTTAACCTCTGCTGTGCTTCCAACCAGGAACTGGTCTTCTTTCTTAAAGCTAAAGTGCTAGAACATTACAGTCTTAGACGTAACAGTCTAATACTTAAGAATTGTTAAGGGTGTCACAGTGAAATGGCAGTCAAACTGAAAGCCTATTAGACCTGCTAGGTACCAGGAAACCTGCATTCACCCACTCTACAGTTACACTCTGCATTTAGACATTTTTTTTTTCATTAAGGTTGGCAGTAAAATGAACAATCTTTAAACCTGTCCCTGTTCAGTTTTTACTGGCAAACTGCAGTGCACAATTATAGCCTCAGTTTTGCTTTATTAGTCAAGGTGTTCCTCCAACGCAAACACCACTATTAACTTGAAAGAGTCCATGTCTCCTCTGGTGAAAGAGTAGGTTATTTATTATACACTAAACTAATGCTTAAGCTCAGCAACTTTGTTTTACTGCTCTCTCTCTTTTTAAAAGCATTACAATACTTACTGCCTTTTTATATGGCCAGATATCATTTTAGAACTGTATCAATTACCAGTCTAATAACTGAAGACGAAAATCAGGACTAATTTGTGTTATGGCAAATGAGTCACACTATCCCCTAAAATTCAGTATAAGGGCAGATAAAAAAGATCCAGTCTATGGAAAAAGGAATACGAAGCATCATTCTTCTATGACCCTTATTGTAAGATAACAATGAAAGCGAACCAAAACCAGTAGAAACAAAGGTCAACACACTATAAAGTTTCAGCTGTCAGCATTTACTTCAGTTTCCTCTCTCTGAAAATCTTAAAGGAGAAGCAGATGACAACATGATCTCACTGGTGCTAGTTCTACATGAGGTAACCAAACCACTCAGAATATTCTAACAAGATTTTTTAATACAAAGACACAGTAAATATTTAGGAGCATATTACGTACTCCAGCATGGATGACCGTCTTTAACAGGGTGAATAGCTATCCAGTGTCAACAGATACAGGGAGCTACATTTTCTATCAGTTCTACTGAAAAGTTCATCTCAACTTACGCTCTAGTTCAAGTAATTGTGTTTTCAACTGGACTGCTTTCAAAGATGCAACACTACTGTAACCGTTCATTCAATCTGTTAGTAACTACTCTAATCTTTTGCTTGCAGTAAATTTATGCAATTAAGTGCACAAAGTTACTTGAAATACCTGTTTTTTTATTTTTATATTTAATCCAAAATATTTCCTATGACTTCACAAATACTACTCCAAATAATAAAAAAGTACTTGCAAAAGATACTTATCTATGTTATTTTCAACATCTCTAGCTTAGAAGGAAACACCTTATCAGATGTTTGACTACTGTGTAATTTCAAACACACTACTACCAAATCCAACCCCAAAACATCAGCGCATTTACTTAGAATAATCATTGACATGTTATTGACCAAACGAGTTTACTTCCCATATTCATGGTGTTTATTTAAAAAGGATACTAAAAGTGGTTAAGAAATTTTTCGTAAGAAATGGCTAATCTTCAAACTCATAGTGTTATGTCTCAGCCTTTTTAGGAACACTTGTTTTTCTCAAGGTCACCTGACAAGCTGGTGGCAGTCCTGTATTTGTCAAGCTGTGTCATAAGAGCAGCAATAATTCAGAAGTCCATGGAAAGGTAATGTTCCTACCATCAGTTCTTTAAGCCACGGTTTTAATGTCAGAAAAGGCTTCCCTCAATGATTTATTCATTAAGGTAGCATGTAAGTATTTAGCAGAATACCTTCAGTAACATGTAAGCTCACATTTTAGCACCAAAAGGGATATCCATCCTACAGAATGCAAGCTTTGAATTTATAATCCATATGTGTGAGTCACAATTAAGAGTGTTACAAGTATCAAAAGTATAATATGAACTTGAATTTTACATTAAAAAGCTTGGGGTTTAGGCAGAAAAATATGGTCTTACATGTCATTTACCACAACTGGGTTATTTTTATAAATTAACGTCAAATTCACTGTTTAAAACAGCCAGAATTAGCATAAAAGAGGTTGACGTGTGCATGTCTTAGGGGAAGTTGTAAAAGCATCACTAAAAACTTTTCCCATCTTCTAAGATTGTGACCTACTAAAGAGATCTTTTAACTTCCCCCCTATACACACATATATAAAACCACAGAGAATTACATACATATACACATGAATTGCTATTAATTCCTGTTCCGAAGTGGTAAGTTTTTCACTAGCTTTCTCCTTACTTAACTCACACTATATTAAACTAAAAAAAATAAAATAAAAAAATCCAGTTTCAACCACTTCCCAAGCAAGACTTTGAGAACATGAAAGAGGCAGCTGTACATTTCATAGAAGTTTTTAGAATTGGTCACTATAAAGTGGAGGTAGTTTTGAAAAATGTAAGCTTGAATTAATTTAAGAAAACCAGAAGTGATATTTATCTACAAAAAGATTTCAAAAAATGAAATACTCTCCTGTTAGGAAGATTTTTTCTGCATCATTGAATATGTTGTCTTGGAAAAAATGTAGCTTTTTGTTTCTGGTTGTTACCAATCAGCTTTCAAGAGCACTCCAAGACACATGCAGTTGTTGATCTTTCTCACTGAAAGTGTGCTGTTGCTTTCTGAAGTTATAAGATGGACTGAATGTAGCTTCTAAGCCATTTCCAGGGTCTTTTTCTAGTAAGAAGAGTTCTTAGAACTTCCTGTAAATCATATTAATTTAAAAATAGTGCTTCTGAAACCACACCTCAATTTACCTACAGAGAATTACACTTTACTCCTGAAAACTAGGATGATAATCTAGATAGGAAAATGATTAGCATAAACTCTTCCACTTTCAGTTTCATCAGTATAAAATTTCACTGGACAGCTTTTATACTGCGTCACAGTCACATGGTCTCGTATGTGCCAGAAAATACTTTTGTAGATCTGAAGTGTAACAATGGAAACTGTTGAAACTTAGTATTTGTTTAAAACACAAAGACTGACAAACAGACCAAAGAAAAATCCCTCTCAATGAAGTTACTGACTTTACTGACATTACTAAAAATACTAACCCCACTTTTTGTTTTTCTGCCCCATCCTAACAGTAAGTCAGTATCTTCTTGCAAACAAACCATTCCACAGCAATGGGGGAAGGGAGGGGTGAGGTTGGAAGCAGGGAGGGGGGAATTAAAAGTCTCTCAGTACTTATAATCTATTATAAATGAAATTAAATTATATATTGTGTAACCCTGTAGTTACTTTTATCAAACTTCCCACTGTTACTTTAAATTGTGTAGAACAGGAAAAAAAGAGAAAAGAGATTTCTCATCTGCTTTTCTTGTTTTCCCTTGACAAAAAGGTAACATTCTGATATGTATTTAATGTGCCATATTCTAATGAAGTATATTTGGCTAGGAGCTCCCAGGGTGTAGTCTGTTGCCAGCAATGGACCCACAGGGAAGAGAAGATGCCTAGAAAATTAGATCAAATCCAAAGCGAAGTTTCGAATAACATCAAGAGCTCCTGTATCAAAGCCACATATATCCAACATGCCTTTGTCATCTGGATCAGCAATCGTAAAGCCATTTGAGGTCATTCCACAAATAATCAGCTTAGCAGGAATACCCATTTGCTAGAGGAAGGAAAAAAAAAGGGAAAAAATAATATGAGAACACACATAATACAGTAACTTAAACAAGACAGAGGGCCAAATCTTGCTATCTTGCCTCCTAAACCACTGTCTGAATAGGCATACTGATAGGAACTAGATGTGCCATAACCAGAACTGCAGACTGTTGACATCATACTTAACCTGCAGTAGGTATATTTAAATTAATGGGAATAATTGCAGTGAGGTGTACACAACTTTCCTGCAATACTAAGATTCACAGATTATTCACAGATAGATATCAACCATTTCATTTGCTATTCTGGAGTTCATTCTGAGAGAGAGCTTTCAATAATAATTATTGAATCCTCTAATAGGAGTCAGAGAGTATGTTTTTGTGGTTGAACAAATACAACAACCGTGGCCTGAAAAATTCTGCTAAATGAGCTGAATTTGAAGGTTAATCACCTGTAAGGTAAAGCAAAGCAAGTGGCATTAAGAGTACAGAACTCTGTTTTAAAGAACAAATTTAGGAATGGGAGCTAGTCTTAATTAAGAAAACAGAAACACAGTGGGCAAGTTAAAGATTTTTGGTATTCGTTTCAACTAGGTGGACATGATACAAAGATCCATGTGTACATGCTTGCCAAAAAATATTTCTTGTAGTTTAAAAATTTTCTTAAAAGCATAAAAGATGGTTTGCTGATTAAACCAGAGTTTCTAACAGCAATATGTTTGAAGGGGATATTTTTCTTAGTCCTATTTTAAAATTATGAAGCTGCACAGCTTAAGAGTAGCCCATTTAGATCATAATGAGCTGCCTTCACAAGATGCTATCACCTCATCTTATTCACACCTTCCATACAGGTTTATCTTCATTACTTCATTTAAACTTTGTGATATCTACTGCAGACATCAAAGTTCAATTTAATTCTGTGAGCCAAGTTTTTTTCTGTAAGGACTATAAGAAACTTAATCTATTACAGACAGAATGCAGAAACTCATATATTCTCTGAAAACCAAACAGATTTTCATTGATATAGCAGTACACTGAGCAAGGTGGGGTAATTATTAATCCTTTTAGCAATTCAGAGGTTTTAAATAAATGCAATTAGTGCAAAATACGCACTAATTCTGCCTAACTGCAGAATATATCAGTTTTAAGCAACATATAATTATTTACTGAAGAAAGCCACAACTAGTTCAGTTTTTAAGACATTTGTAGAACTGGTATTTATTTTGTACTGTGTTCATCAATTATAAACAGTCAGAAGCATATTTACCTCTCTGTACTCTCTAAGAGCTGTTGCAGGATGAGTATTTCCAGCAAAAGTCTCATTATCGGTAAATACAACGAAGACATCAGCAGCTGTCTGTGTTTTTTGAGCCCATATCATTGGAAGGGAACAATCAGTGGTGCCCACCGGAATCTTAAAATAAATTTAAAAAAATAAATAAAAAACCAAACCAAACATAGAATACAGAATAATACAAAAAGTAGTAAACTATGGAAAAATTATTTTTATGGAGGCTCCATGTTTTATCACATACAGAGGCTTCTTTGTTAAACAACAGTTCCCTTACTAGTTTTGCCTAGGGTTTTTTGGTTTTGCTTGTTTGACTTTTTACATATTCTTTTCAACCTAACTCCTTGTGACCTAACACTGCCGTTCTAGATTGCAATGTGTAATATGCAGCAGTTGAAATAATGACACTTGCTGGACTGTCTGTAAATAAAAGACACAAATATGGACTAAACACAGTATACAACTGAATATAAAGAAAATACAATGTAACTGCTGAGACACCTAAACTGTGATGTTAGTAACAGCTATTTCCTAATGTTTTTGGTTTGGTTTGTTTTACATACTTCATACATTTTCACTAATACTTGAGGCAACGTCATATCAGTCGTCACTGGGCAGGGCACAATTTCATGCGAAAAGGCAACTATATGGGAATCCCTCTCTGTACGTGCCACAACCTGAGAAAGGGGAAGACAAAAATAATTTAGTTACATTATTCAGAATTTTTACTGTCTGAATCAAGGCATTCCCACAACATGACAGATCCTTTTTCATTCAAGTTACCATGGCTTCTCATATGCATTAATGCTTCACTAGTCACTTTAAATGTAATACTGCAAATAAACATTGTAAAAATCAAAGGTGAAGAACTCCTCTAATTACTCTAAATATACTTCCATATTCCTTCTCTCCCCTGACATAAAACAGTAAACATTTTTGAACAGCAACAGAAGTTTAACTCCTTTATAATATAAATACACAAGAAGCTTCAGAATACCAAATTGAGGGGAAAGTGATTGTGAGACAAAGGACATACAGATATCTCAAATGCACACAAGAATTACCCCAAAATTTCTTAATCCAATCTGTGTTATTCAGTGAGTGCTTTTGAAGCAATAAATAAATAGAATGTATTTTCAGCTAGGATAAGCGAAAAAGCAGCCTTGACCAATTTCATTTAGACTAGAAATCAACTTCAAACTGATCTTCCTGAATTTGGTTGCCACTGGCTTTAAGCATATGGACTACCAGTGAGACACAAGGTCACATTTTTCGTACTCAAATATATTATAGGTAAGTTTCCTTCCGAAATCTAAGCAGCTTTAGATCACCTTTGTATCAAAAGAGCAGCTCAGGCTGCAAATAATTATAAATAAAAGAAGTTTAATGCCTTACCATACACATTGCTGCTGCAACTGTGCTAGCACTGAGTACACTGCCCAAAACTTTTTGTGTCATTGATGCACTGACATCAACTGCAAGTAAGAAGCGTTTTCCTGTTGGTTCAACTGTCTATAAAAATAGAAAAAAGAAAAAAAAAAAAATATAGGTACACATAGTTAGTACATTCATGTCTTCCTTCTTCTGCTTTTGACCTGGAAATGGGTCTTTTTTTATTCTTTCTGGGGTAACATTAGCAAAACAATGTTGCCAAAAGCTGAATGTATCATAAAATTTTGATTTGGTTTTTAGTAAAATCCCAAGTCCTAGGATTTTTGTTATAAAGTTTCAAAATTGTTTCCACCCAAGAAACTTTTCTTGATCCTTTTTGAGGCTTTCAGAATACAGAGATTTCTTAAAAGTGTTAACAAATTGAATAACCATATTACCTGGAATGTTTTGTAAAATGAGGCATCTAAGGCTTCTAAAATGTCTTCATCAGGACGCCACCAAAGCTTTCCTCTGCTTCCATGCCCAGCTTTATAGCTTTCTAATGCAACCAAGACATGGAATGGATGTATTCTACCCTATAGGTAAAAGAAATCCATAGGCAGTTTTTGAAAATCTGAACTCCATTAAAAAAAAAAGGTAAGAAACTAAAAATAAGATCCTACTACAAATATCTGGTTTATTATATTGTTCTTTTAGATTTCTTAAGTTTGAAGAGTTCCTGCAGTCTTTACACAGCTGTTTCATGAACTGATACTTGTTCAGTTACTGGTAATGGACATTATGCCCTTTCCAGAATCCTCCAATGAATTCCAGTTGTTATCTTATGCCAAGCGTTACCTTAAGCCAGAAGCTTGCTACAGTGCCAATTTAAGAAAAGACCCTAGTTGTCAATATACTTAATTTGTAGAATAGTTTCAGAAATAGAGAGGGGAGGGGAATCAAATCAGAAATTATAAGTACAATTTTTAAAATACAGCAGCAAGTATTCTGCTGCAGTTTTTTTTTTTTAAATAAACTACACATTTCCTCAAATGAACATCCCTTTTGTTTTGTGAAGAGGTTGCCTGAAGAACTACAGTTTAGGAAGAGATTAAGAACCACGAAGGCTGGCACTGCTTACAGAAACATTCTTACCTTTTTTAGCAGTTTCTCGTTTCTCAGTCTTTCACATACTATTGCCACTTCTGAACCTCGTGGTTCAAGCACTGAATTTGCTGTCAACTTTCCTAAATTTCTCAACAATACAGAAATGGACATTTCCTTCAGCAATGCCTTCCAAACCTGTGCACAAACAAAGAGAATGAAAAAAAAAAAAAGAGGTAAGATTCCAAAACTACAAGAATTTACATCTGTACATTAAATAAGTGTATTTTTAAATAATAAGCATACAATTTAAATGAAGATCTTTATTATTTTAAATTAGGTACTTGGGTAAATAACTTGACAAACAATGTAAGGGCTATTTTTTATGGAAATGTAGACTTCAGACTCTGAAAAGTGTTCTTCTGAAGAGATTACAAAGCCAATGAAGTTTACCTACCTCTTTAGATTTCAGGTGGTTTGTCAGGAGATGCTCTCTGACTAGACCATATTCCTCTATTAAATGAATAACTTCCAATTCATCTTTTGTGCGTTTTACTTTCTCCACAGCCTCCAGATACTTTAAGAGTTTTTCAGTCTCAGCAGAAACTGCTTTGTCTTTATAAGCTTCTTGGACATCTTTCCACCCTTTGGTAACATATTTAGTGACTATACCAATTCCTATTGAAAATAAAAATATTTTCCAAGCAGGATTACCACCTTTATACTGGCATTTAGCAATTCTAGCAAGCCAATGAGTTAGCAGATCCCATTCTCAGACCTGCCAACCAGCTATAAATACTGTCAGTCACACGCAACTTAGAGCAGCAGTTTTAGTGACTGTTTTAGTATTATTCTCCTTAAATGGAGCCTTATGTATTTGAAATCAACAGATCTTCCCAAAAGTGTTGTTTCATAATTTGTAAGCAAATCAGAACAAACTGAGAGAACTGTCTTATTTTCTCTTCTCTCCACATACAGAAGAAAAAGAAGAAACAAACTGTTTAACTTGACGATAATCAGGTCAATTTCTGATATGACCACTCATGGTTTTAAGGTGCAATTTACAGGATACCATCACTAAGAAATCATCAGTACCTGGGTTTCCTAAACTAAATACTTTTACAGTAAGTATAAAAGGTTTAAAACACAGTATTTTCAGATAAATAAAAATGTATTACCTTCACTGGCAGGTTTTAGGTGGGACAACCTCAGAAGATCTTTATGAGACCAACCACTTCTTTGTTTATATTTTGTAACTGCTAAAGCAACAGCCATGCCATTTTTTCCATTGTACCAATCTGCAACAGCTTTCCTCAGTGCACGGCCCCAAATACCACATTTCATGCCCTCCTTCAGATCTTTTTTAAATTGGATGAAAGTAAAGAGATGGGTTGGTATGCAACACACCTCAGGAACAGCTTTAAATGCTGCTTGTTTTGTTTTTGCATCAGAACACTGTGAGCAAATTGCAAGAGCAAAAAGTAGGGGTTCCTGTTTTGCTGCTCTGCCTTCTTGACTGAATGTCTTTATTTCTTGAACAACTTCACAACCTCTACCCTCTTCAATCAGTCTTACTAAAGCTTCTGCATTTCCATAGCCCAGCTTCTGCTCCTTGATGTAATAAGTACCACCTTCTGAACCAAAACATAAGAAACGCTGCAGTCGATTCATATCGGTGACATGCCACACATAACCACTCTCACAGTTTGGCACCTGCTTTTCATTCAGGAGTTGTTTTTCCTCGTCCTCCATTGTCTACACTTCCAAGAAGTCTGTTGGAAGAATCATAAAGCCCATTAAGAACACTGTGAAAATCTGATGACTCTCCTCCTGTGAGTTCTTAGCAAAGTGATACACTTGCAATTTTTCCATCATAAATTTAATAAAAGTATACTCTTACGTGTGCAGTAACATGTATTAGGGGAAAACAAACAAACAAAATATCTCTTGAGTTACAATGGTGACAAATATATTTCCTTAAAAATAACTTGGAAACTACTTAACCGCAATAAATGGCACACAGAAAACATGGTTGCTGTTATGCCCTGTTGCCACTAATAAGTGTTGCCACCACTTTCTTTGGTAGATTTTTGGATTGCATACTAAATTGCTCAAAAAACAGATCTTGCCCTACTCTGTTTTGGTGGAATTGGTAATACCAATCAACTGAAGAAACGCACTGCTAAAACAAAGAACTAAAATACTGAAAAACTGTTTAGTCAGAAGGCTTTGCAGAGCTTAAATATGGTGGGTTTCAGTGAGGCTTAAACAACAGCTTTTTAACAATTGACAGCAGCTCAAGAAAAAAAATTATTACAGACTCAAATAGCTGCTGTTAAGTGACATCCAAGAAAACAACACAGAAAAACACAAAAATTCACAATCTTTCAGGTCTTTATACAATTTTAAGTTGCAAGAGAGTTCAGCTGTAATATTCGTAGGCAACAACACTGCTCTTACTTGGAGACCATATACCATGGTAAAATTCAAGCTGTAACATTTAAACCGAAATAAATGGAGGTGAAATGAAATCAGCATGGTAAGGGGAAGAAAATTCATCATCACTGTCTCCAAAACATTAATATGACAAGAATAAATTCAGTGTTTGCTGTTCTCACCAAACAATAAAAAACCCCCACTAAACAGCACCAAGGGGTCCTATTTAAACATAAAAAGCACCAATAATCCACTCCATCAAACCACATACAGACCTTAAAATAGGCATATACTAAAGTCTGAGCACACAGAAATGTCAATCCAAAGAAATCTACCTAACAATTTTTAAGCACTGAAGCTATCTACTTCTGAGATGCTTGTTTGGATACTGAATATAAAAGCCATTTTGCTTCATAAGCTGTCACAAATAGATGTCAGTAATGTAGACAGATCCTCCCCCCAGTGTAAGTAACACGCTGATTTGCAAACTTCCCTACTTTCCCTGCGACACAGAATTTCCCTTTCACTTCAAGCAACTAGAAATGTACCTTTCCTCCACTCTTGCCTACCTGCAGTGATCCAGAATTACATAATGAATGATAATCAGTGTTCCCACTGTATTCTTTATGCTGCTAGAATCATAAAAATAGAAGCCATATGTTGATACCCGGTTTAAAATTCAGATTTTAGTTAAAAATTAGCTGCAAAATATCTTTCATTGCATTATTCTGAGCACCAGTGTTCAGCTGTTTTTCTTAGTGCTTAAATATTCTAATCATGTTTCCCTGCAAACCCATTAAAATACACATCATGGTTGAGTCGACTTTTTCACTGACATCTGAAGCATGCAAATACACTGAAAATAACAAGGGCGGTATTCGCTGTGCATGAATACCATATCAGTACATTTTAATGTTTAAATACATTTTATTTCAATACATTTCAATTGGCTGGTTTCATTAAACTGTAGGTAATGTTTCATACTACACATACAAAACCCAAACAAAAAATCCTGGCATCACAGTCAGCACCCATTAGTTTATTTATCAGCCAAAAAAAAATACATGCAAGATACTGGAAAACACCACTATCTTGAAGCAAAAATAAGAATTGGGGAGCATAAAAGATCTTACAAAGCTATGGCTGCAACAAAATACACTTGCACTACAGCAGAGCTCTGACAACGCAAGTTCTCATATTCCACAACATAAGTATCTCTATGTAAACAGGAATGTTTGGAGAACACTTTGCAAATCGCAAACGGTATGCTCACTGGTATGATGACAGTAGAGGAGATACCGGACTACATGAATCAGGCACTTGATCAAAAATACATCTACTATACAAGTTGCTTAAAAGCATACTTGCTTAAAAAATTTATTGACCGGTGGTAGAAGGCAACTTTGCAGACACAGAACAAAACTATGAGGAAAAAGCATCTAAAGTTGATACCCAAAGACCTCTGAATTAGCTATCAGTTTCTATAACTACGAAAACAAGTAACGATGAAGCAGGAGAATGAGCCCAAGTGATGTGCCCTTTAATCCCCTCAAGGAGCTTACACCGCCCAGGTGCCAAGCAGGGGGTGGCTATCTACAGTGGGTGCTTCTTCACATTCCTTCAACACCCGCGCCAAACCCACAACCCCGCCGGGGCTAGCGCGATCCCTCCACCCTCAGCGCCAGCCGGGCGGCGCAACTTGCCTGAGAGGACGCGGCCTCGCAGGGGCCGCGGGGCAGGGCCCGCCCAAGCCAGCGCAGCTTCCTCCGCCGAGCAGTAGCGCAGCCCCAGGGAGCTGCGGCGAGGGCCGGGCGACGAGAAGGCAGCCTGGAAAGGAGAGCGGAAGCAAGAACCCGCTCCGGGCGCTGGGCACAGGCAGGGCAGGTCCCTCCAGCCACCGGCAGCTCCGCGTCTTCCACAACCTGATCCCGCCCCACCCGTGTCCTGACAGCATCCCCGGGACCCGGATGGGGCCGCGCCCACCGCCCCCCACGGCCGCAGCCCAGTGCCCGGATGGAGTCGCGACGCCGACCCGGAACCGCCTCCTTCCGCGCCGTAGGGGATTCCTTCTACCCGCCGCCCATCTGCCGCCACAGCAACAGAGCCGCAGGGTGGAGGCGCGGCACGAACCGATGCGGTCCCTCTAGGGGCACTGCTGCTGCCGGCAACGAGCGGCTGCCCCGGATCCAATCTCAACCGCCACTTCCGGCTCCCGCCCCACCTCACCATAGCGATGACAGGCGCGGCGTGGGCCGCGGGGCCTGCCGGGAAGGGAGCGGCGTGTTTCGGCCTCGCAGTTTAACCGGCCGGCGGCGGCCTAAGGGAGTGTGCTGGTTGTCGCCATGTCGGGAGGGAGTAGCGCTGGCGAGTGGTGCCTCATGGAGAGCGACCCGGGCGTGTTTACGGAGCTCATCAAGGGCTTCGGTGAGGGAAAAGCAGGACTGGGGTCGGGCGTTGGGGTCGCGCTGGTGGGCAGGCGTTGGCGCTCTGTGTCTGCGGCCCCGTTGGTGGCTGTGGCTGTTCCCGCACGGGTGCAACAGCAGCCCGCCCGCTCGCCCGGTTAGCGGAGTGCTCCTTCTTTCCCCGACGAAGGGTACAGGGCGCCAGTAGGCTGAACCCAGCCGCGGCGTGGCTGCGGCCCGGCCGGGGGCGGCAGGGGACACGAAGAACGGTGGAGGTTGGCTGGGGCCGAGGCCGTGCTCTGGCAGCGTGGCGGTGCGCGGACGCTGAGAGTGAACGCGACTCTTGTGACCTCTGTGCGGCTTCCCAGGCCGTGCGTCCGCGTTGCTGCCGGCAGCAGCCGGCCTTTTGGCTGAGGGGGCTGTCAGCGTCGCCTGTGCTCTCGGTTTCCGGGCTGTGGGTGGCCAGTGGCGGGACGCGCTGTTCAGCGAAGCCCGTCCTGTCGCCTATGGCACATGAACGCTTCTGCTGGGCAGCTTAATATAAGTAAATGCCTCGTAGGAGGGAATACCAGCGTCTGGAAAGGGTCTGTGTTTGGGTCATGTGACAGGCGACTCGGTTGCAGAGACTCCTGGAGGGAGGACGTTGCGGTGAAGGGTTGTGTGTGACCAAGCTGAGCTGTGGTGCTTGGCAGTAGTCTGGGTAACCAGTAATGGGCTTCTTTGGCCTTTAGAATACTAAATATTACGTTGAATTGAATTTAACGTCTTTGGAAATACCGTAGTTATATGGTTATAACAGCAAATAAGTCTATACAGGATTTTGGCTAAAGAAGCAAAATGATTTTATGTTAGGTTACATTGATTTGTAATTTCTGTCACATCTGCATCTCACATCTGTAGCCCAAGGCATGTTTCTCCTTTTGCATTTCTATTTAACTAATAGATTAATCTTCAACATGCCAAGATTTGAACTTCTAGGGCTCTTATGTAAACGTCTTTTTTGAGTGTATTGCTTACAGTGTTTTCAGTCTACTACCGGGTCTTTCTCTGGAGGTAGATTTTTTTTAAGCTCCGCTTTGGACAAGCGGACAGCGTCTTTAAAAACAGTATTATTTACAGTTGAGCAAACGGCATGAGGTGACCAAAGATATTTTCATCTCCTCTGCTTCTTTTTTAAAAGCAGCTGTGTTTATAAAGAAATAAAGATCACCATACACAGGAGATATTCATGAAATAATTTCTCTTGACCTGTCTTGTTTGGTTTTCTAATGAGCATGCATTAAAGCTGATAAATAGACTTTTCCATAACCTGCACATACAAGTTGTAAATATTACTATATTTCTTCTCTGTGTCTGTCTTTACTAGCTGTGTCCTATTTAAATGGGGCTGTTGAAGAAACTTGTATCATTCCTTCTTTCAGGTTGTAGGGGAGCACAAGTTGAAGAAATATGGAGTTTGGAACCAGAGAACTTTGAAAAATTAAAGTAAGGCACTTTTCTAATCTGCATAGATTTTATGTATGTTTGTCTGAGGTCACTGAAAGAACGTATATTAAACTTCCTCTGGCTTTTTTGGTGGTGCAGCGGTTCACTAGGATTTTGTTTTAATTGAATACCTGGCAATTACATTATTTTTTATTAATGTCTTGGTTCTTTGTCTAGCTTGTGTGGTTTTGGAAAGATGCTAATAGCAGCTAGAATGTGAAAATTGATGTCTAATGATTTTGTCATTGCTTGACAAGTTCTTTGATTAACTTCTTGCTTTATCTCTTCCTCGCATCTGTTGCCTTAAATAAATTAATCCACTGTACTCACATACTTTTGTAACTTGTTTTTCCTGCAGAACCGCTTCCATATGTTTATGAAGGCAAATAGTCTTGTAACTGACAATTACTGATATCATATGGAACAGTTAGGGCCTCATCAGGCAAGATTCTTGTACCATTTTGTCTGGGATGCATTAAGGAAAATACATTTTTACGTACAAGATTTGAAGAGGAAAATGTCATCTAACCCAAACCATACTTTCTTACTGTGTGAATGTCATACACTTTTATAATTAATGTTTTAGAAGATGTAGCAGTTAGTACAGGAAACGCAGCTTTAGATTTTTTGTCTGACTGAAGGTATTTGACAAGTGATACCTTAATGGCAGAAGTGTTCTTTGAGAAGTGGTTTATTTGCTGCCTGCACTATGTACTTCATATAATACTTCATCAGAATGTTACCTAATCTGTTCATAAAGTAACAACTTTGCTTGCTTGTACTGTCTGATGTATATATTCCTAGTCTTGAGTGGTGGCCAGCTTCCTTCCCGTGCAGGTGTATTTTACACATTATTTAAATGCTAAGAGTTAAAGAATATAACAACACGTAGAATTTTTCAAATTCCCTCAGTGGTCCTACTGTTTAAAAAGACATCTGCTGGTCAGAGCTTAGGAAAAGTTTCTTCTGCAGTGCAGTAGTCTGTTTACTCTTTGTAGATAAACCTTTTGTGGCATCATTGTGGTGATGGCCTTAACTGCAGGTTGATATGATGAATAAGTTTTTGCTTTAATATAGCTGTAGATTTTGTAAGAATTGTTTCTTTTACTAATACATTTTTGTTTTATGGGAATAACTAAATACAGTGCAAGATGTAAACTAAGTACAGTGCATGATGCAAGACCTGCAGTCTGAAAAGACAATTTTAGTAAAAGATAAAGCTGGAGTTCTTGTCTCAGAGAGAGAACTCAAAGCATGCAGTTTCACAAGAGCTTCTCTTTGCCTATTTCATTTATGCCTGAAAGGACTACCAGAACTTTAGATCTAGCTCTTGTATGTGATTGACAAATATTTTGATAGCTATTTGTCATTAACAAATTCAAATGAGTGTTGTGGAACTGTAATAATTACAGTAACCAGGAAAACTGGTCCTGACTTAAATTACTGATGAAATGCTAATTAACATTGAGATTGTTTAGCATATATAGACAGACGCTTCAATTATGTTCTACCTAATTGAAAGACCACATCTGAAAAATTTAGTGCAAGTTCCCTATGTTTAGCAGGAAATAACTAACAGAATGAGTGTACCAGCATTCATTTAAATTATAGCTGAGATTTCTGGCTTTGTTTTTTCATCAGTACATGTGGGTTTGGGTTTTTTTTTTCTCCTGTCATTTTTGTTTTTTAGGCCAGTACATGGGCTGATTTTCCTCTTCAAGTGGCAGCCTGGAGAGGAACCAGCAGGTTCTGTTGTTCAGGATTCCAGACTGGATACGATATTTTTTGCTAAACAGGTAAGGCAGGTTCAGTATTTTTCTTTGATATGTCATGAAATACATCTCTTAATAGTAAAAAATAATGGTTTTGTTAATATGTACATTAAAATCAATTTTCAAGGTGAAATAACTTTAATAAATTCTGTGGGAGTAGGGACTGTGTATTAAAATATTATTATCAAAGCAAATCAGATTAATCAGTCAAGTCAGACAAAAGTATCAGCAGGTAGGGAAGAGTAAAGCTCTTCTTTGTCAACTGCCTCTGATAAAAGTAAATAACTCTTCAGTGCAGTAAAAATTACTTAGTAAATATTCTCAGCAGAATGAGCAATTTTGTCTTTTTGAAACCACTTTCAACAAATTCTAGAAGGAAAGATTTATTTTGGTCCAGTTCTCATTTGTTGTATTTCTCAAATATTCTGCAGCCAGGGCAGCATAACTGTAGGATAGCACTGTCGTTTAAGAATTTGCAGGCCATTTTGGCATATAAGTTTTCAGTATATAAGTCATAACAGTGAGTCTGAATTAGAAACTACAGGAAAAATTGGGTTTGATAGTCTATATTGGTTTTATTAAATACCAAGTGGTGTGAAATTTTGTGTTGGCTCTGACAGAGTGACGTGCATATTATTTGCAAGCAAGAAAAGCATGAGAAAGTAACCACAATGAAAGCAGGAGTATTTAATAATTTTTTTTAGATTTTTTTTTCAAAATGTGTTTCTCAAATAGTGGTAAATGTAACAGTCCAACCATGAAGTGGTAGAGTTACTACAGGTGTTAATTACAAAGCATTCCTATCAAAGGGCAAAAGATTAGGCTTTCTATCAAGAATGACAGTTAGGCAAGTTGTTGGTTTGGTTTTTTTGAGGTATTTGGGGGGTGAGGGGAGTGGTGGTTTTGGGTGGTGTTTTTTTTTGTGGGGGTGTTTTGTTTTTTTTGTTGTTTGGTTTGCTTTTTGGGAGAGGAAGGTTGTCTGTGTGTGTTTTGATGTTGTAGTTGGTTTGTGTTTTGGTTGGTTTTTTTTTTCTACAAATGCAGAAGTGTTCTCTATGTGAATTTCAGGATATAAAGAAGTCTCTCAATACTTCCAGCTAAAAGTATAGAAATACAGAAAACAGTTGAAACGTATCTATAGGTCTCCTGGCTGCCCTGTACATGTGCTTCTGTTGTGCAAATAATAATCTTTAATTTGCTTCTTTTATAATCACCTAATTGTTTCATGGTACTGTGGGTGACTTTATTCCTTGATCTTTTTTAATAAAGTTTTCTTTGCCTTGCTGCATCTTTTGGGTCCTGCCAAGCAGTGTCCACTCTTCTTAGGGTACAGTGATCAGCAGTAGTTTGACAAATGTCTTTATAGGTAATAGGTCTGACAGACACTGGTTTAGGTTGTGATTTATATCTAGTCAAACATACTGCTAGTGATTAGTGATCCATGGGTGAAGAATAACCTTGATGCAGAGAACCTCGGGGAGAATCTATGATACTACACTCAAAGGCTAGTTACATGATAGAAGGAAATTACTCTGATTTGAATTTAGGGAGGTTTTTTGAAGGTGAAGACAAGATTTACCATCATTCAACAGTTTTCATCTTTCTTGTGTCCCGTGAGTAATGAGGTTCTCACAGAGTTGCTGTTGTGGGTGCTGAAAAGATTCAAACGATTGTCTGCTTGCTCCACTACTTCTGTTTTGTTTTTCCTCTCTCCTCTTCCACTTCATGTTTTAAAGTATGACATCATGTTTAAAAGCAAGTAGCAAAGAGGACCTTTATTAAGCTGTCAGTTGGGATTACAGAATGTACATCAGAAATTTTGGATAATGTTAGATTCACTAACAAAACCAGAGTATTAAAGGCTGATGAAATAATGAAAGTCTGCTTTATGTTGTAGCTTTCTTTGAAACACCTATATTTTACTATTTTCTTAAGCCTGAAACCTCTTTACAGAGGTGTAGGAACTTTCTCATCTTTGCCCTCCTTCACCTGCTGTTTTAAAGGAGGGTATGCTTGGGTGACTAAGAATTCATTAATTTCAGCATGGAAAGCAATTTCTAGAAATGCTTGCAATTTTAAAATTGTAGTGCCCAGTTATGCCACTTCATGGCATGGAATATATATTTCAAAAGTAATTTGGAAGAGTATAAGATTAGAATATCTTTCTCATGTTTTGTTATTATCTGTTACTCAAGTGCAGTGGCTTAGCAAAGTCAAAACATTTCTTGTAGACATATATATGCTTGTGTTTCATGTCACTTGTCAGTTTTGCCTGGATTGAGGTATTGTGACTGAACAACTAGTGAAATTGTCAGAAAAATTAAAATCTAATGTCAAAAGATAAAGGAAAGCAACTGGTTTTGATACTTTGGGTGGATTTGTAATACCAGTTTAGCTTTAGTGACTTTCATTTTGGAGGAAGTTAGTTTTAGTTAGAGATCCAGCTTGATGAGCTATATTTTGAGGACTGATAGTATTTTCTAAAGTGAATGGTGAATCTGAGGGTGAAAGCAGTATATTTGGGTCATCCCAACCCGTCTCCTTTTGACTTCATGGTTCTGCTCCTCTCTTGCAATGGCTTAACTATTGAACTTCTATGAGCCAGTGCAGTTTATCAGTGAGCAGTTTTCTATAGATCCTCTGTGCATATTTTCTGGGCTGGTCTCCTGTCACATTGAGATCTGTTTGTTCAGTGAGTCTGTACAAGCAAAAGCTGGTAAAAGGTAAGTGAAAGAGACCAGAAATGTCTTTAGAGGAGTAGTGAGGTTATTACAATTCTTGAAACCATGGTCTTTGAATCCTCATAAGTAACCCAGCTGCATGAAGGAAGACAAGGTTAAGAAAATTTGTGTGATACTTAAGATTATTGGTCTATTGATCTGTATTTTCAAAACAGATGTGACACTGGAGGCCAAAAAATCTCAGGTATTTGGCTTTCCCAAACATCTTTTAAATTTCACATACTTCTTTTAAATTTATCACTTAAGAGATTTGGTACAGCCCAGTTTATTGCAGAGAAGTTCTAAAGTGTCATTCTGAATTGTGTATGAGCAAAACTAAGTAACTGTTCATATGTAACAACAACTTAGTACGGCAAATAAATGATGTTATTGCAGCATAGCTGTGTTTCTGCTCAATTTTAGTTAAATGCTCCATCTTAGAAATTGTTTAACTGGGGGGGAACTTCAGTTATATGTAAAAGGCTACAGCTCTTAAATTGTGTCTAGCAAAAACCTTTAAAATTGCATTAGGAAACACAATTTTGTTAAGAATTTAGTGCATGCTCACACTTTGTTCATACCAACTTTCATTAGGATGTTGTAGTTGACTTCGAAATGACAACTAGATCTTGTTCACAGTTAGATCATGAGTATATTGGGGGGTTGAATTTTGAAGTCTAATTTGCATGCATATTAAAGGTTTGTTTTTTTTTTTTTTTTAATGTGCACTCATGTTAAATTTGGCCTCCCTGTTATGCCTAGGTATGATTTGGTCCTCTATTTGAGGCCACAGAACTCTGGATGATCTTACATACCCTTTGAGCTAGGATACCTAGGCACGAGGTGAGTTAAGGATACAATTTCAGCCTTAACTCTGAATTTCCTGATTTCTGTGTTGCTTAAGTAGGCCCTTGCTGTTGTTTTTACACACAGCACCTACACAATTGTACCACTAAATGTGTTCGGCTATCTTCAGCACTGCTTTGAATAGCTGTATTCTGTGCTGATCACTGCAGAAGCAGAAGTGTCTCTGGACACAAAAAATGCCATTGTTGCACACTTATGTACTAACTTTTTTTTAGCTTAATAACCTCCTCAGGTTTTATTACTGAAGTATTGGTATCATGCCTTTGGTTTGTGCCGTGTATTATACTGCATTGTGATGATAGACGATTACAATTGTGATAATAAAGCATTAACTTCCTTATTGGGAATAAAATCTATATACTTTCAAAAGGAGGATCCTCTCAATGAGGAAGAAGTAACAGAATCTCTGTCTTTTAATTACATTTGTGCCACTTATGAAAGCATATTTTATATTTTTAAACATTTCCAATACTTCATTTGATTTCAAACTCAAAATTTTTGACATTTTCAGGTTTGGTAACGTTAAGATAGACCAGGTATCTCCGTTAAAGCCAAAACCTGGAAGACGTAAAATGAACTTTCAACACGTCTAATCAAAGTCAGAAATAGGTTCCAGGAACTGAAGTTAACTATGCAAAGGCTACATCTTTATTCCAAAGGAATAAAAATAAATAAATCTAGATGGGGGTTTTAAACAAGAATGTTTTGTAACTTTGTCCTAATGCTAAATTTTTCACATTAAGCTTTGTAAAGCCAACTGGTTTGTAACGTTGGCATGCTTAGTAAGTGAATCCCAGAGATTTGCTGGTTATACTACCAAATGCAGTAGTACAGGGTTGTCCACAGCTGTTTGAAAAACAGAATGTGTAATCCATCAAATAGAGTATGCAAGTCATGAACTTAGAGTGCTTCAGCCTTAAGCTGATCCAGAAACTTGGATTGGATCCTTAGGAAAAGCTGCGTGCTTATGAAGTTAAGCATCTTATTCGAAGAGTCTGCCAGAGTAGGCTATTCATGTGGTTTCTTTGTTTGTTTTAAGCTAAGGTTTGCTTGGTGATATGGTGGCTTTCTCATATATATCTCTGTGTGTATATATATTACTTTTAAATATTACAAAATACACCTTGTAGTTTTGCTAGCAAAATCTTTCAAATATGGGTATCTGCTTTAAGTTGGGTTCCTGAGTACTGGTTGATCAAATATCTCAGCAGGACTTCCTGGACAGAAATAAACAGGCAAATATTGGGATTTCTGGACAAATACACAATCCCTCTTATGCTTCCTCAAGTCAAAATACAAAATTATTTGGACTATCTGCATATATTATCATGGTATATAAATGGAGGACATGTTTTCTACCACCATAAGTAAGAGATACATTGGAAATTAGGGTAGATAGGTATCCTGACCAGTTTCTCTCTTGAAGGACTTATTAACTTATGTGTATAGCAGTGCTGGACTGTCTGTGTGCATTGATAGGATGCAGTGCCCATTTAGCAAATAAACCTTGCACCCATCTACATTTTGTACAGCAGTCGCCTCCTTCTCTGTGCTCTTCACCCTGCCCATGAAGTACCACTAGCTAGATACCTCCTTCTTCAGTCTTGTTAGTTCTCTCCTGTTATTTAGATCCAGGAATGCAGTCTTTTTTTTGCATATCAGCACTTGTTTCTTTTCTGCTACAGGACTATTCTTGCTGCCTTTTCCTTACCTCCCATCTCTCGCTTTCTGAAGAGTGTTTGTAGTTCCAGAATATATTTCCATTTCAACAGCTGGGGGCTGCTGATCTAAGATCTGAATCTGTTGCCTGTTGTTTTCTAGCAGTGAGACAAGATTTAGTTTGATCCTTATATACTTAAGCATATTCCTCTTACTGTAATTGGAATACAGATATATATTTATGCTGAAAAGCAAATATTTGATGAAGCCACAAATTGCCTTCCAAGTTTAATTTTTCTTCTGTTTTTTTACTGCTCTTTAAAGCTCCTGTATCCAGCTAGTCCAACAGTTTGTGTTGATCTTGCCTGTAGGCACAAAATCTCTTCATTTCCTTGCACTTTTTTTGATCTCATTATTGGGTTAATGATCTGCCATACCAGCTGAAGTATGCATCTTGATTTTTCAGTAAAGACAGCTACCACTGAGGGGTTTCTCCCCCTATGTTGTCCTGTATTAGTTATATTTCATTAGTGCTTAAACCGTGACACATTTAACAAGTGCTGTTTGCTGTTGTGACCCTCTCTTCATTATAATAACACTGTTCTAATAATTTTTCACCACTTTCTTTCTCCTTTTTCAATCAGGTTAATTGCAATGTTTGTCACCACTGCTTCAGGTTAGGCTGCTCTAATCCATTTAGGATCTTCCTGCTTTCATCTTAGTACTATTACAACTGTTTCTGGTACCGTTCTCTAGTCATAGAAAATCTTCAATTCTTTGTTCGTTTTTCATTCCAGATTGGGCAGAGTCTTGGATGACATAGTTTTGTGTGTGGTGTCCCTGGCCATGGCAGGGAGTTGAAACTACGTGATCTTAAGGTCCTTTCCAGCCCTGCCTATTCTATGATTCATTTTTCATTTTTCTGTGTTACAGCGTTAATTCTCTCTAATTACATCATTCTAGTAGTTGGCGGGGGGGGGAAGGTGTTAAATTTTCTTTTGCTATTCGTTATTCCACCACACTTGATGGATTTTCCTTCTATGTCCTTTATTTTGTAATTGTGTGAACTCCAGCCTTTAGCTTGTCTACGTGCAGCCTGAGTTTCAGTTGCTGTAATCTGTTCTCAGTGTGTAGTTGGTTCCCTTGATTATCATTTAAATCAATTAGATTGTATTTTTCTTAAATTGAGAAGTGCTTTGTTATTTCTTTATGACCTGCACTGTACAGATACAAAACCTGAACTGAGAACATCTTGAAGTATAGAAAATCAATTTCTCTCATTTCTTCTTGTAAGTGGTTTCGCATTCATGGCCGTGAGCTAATTTTCTTTTTGTAATACAAAAGCAACATATTCTCTGCCAGTCCTAACGACTAAGTAGCATTTGCAATTGCAAAATAGTCTCATAGACTGAGAGTACATTATTTTTTCCTAGCCTAGAGCTCACTGAGAAAAAACTGCTAAGAAGTTATTACTATATTATGGCCTTAGTCCATTTGACTACTGTGCTTTATATTAAATCTCAGATTATATTAAATAATCCTTGTAGTCTCTCTCTTTCTTTAAATACAGTATTTTAGTTTGGGTATTACTAAGCAACATTAAAACCATGGCTGTAATATGAAAGAGTTTGTTTACGTCATATGTCATAAACTGGTAACTTAATCATGAGGTTGAAAAAGATTGGCATGTTATAAATTAAGAAACACATGCAAAACTTAAAATCTTATGTGGCTTATTTCTCAGCAAACCATCTTAAAAAAAAAATCTTTGCATCTTAAAACACCTAAATCTCATCAGTTTATCGCTAGGGTTTTTGAAATTTTTTGTCCAACACAAGTTTTTTGTGTTTTTTTTTTTTGCTTTGTTTGCTTATTTTGTTTTTGTTTTAATTCTAGCTTCTGCATCTATTGCCCCCATTTTTTTTTTTGTTTTTCTGCTCCTACTTAGGGTAGGAATTCTGATTATTTGAAGGGTATTCTTTTGGGGAGAGTCGACTTGTTTCTTCAAGACCATAGATAAAGCTGTGTTATTTGGGCAGCTTGCTTTGAATAGTACTTAATTCGTTTTTCCACTGGGATCAGAAGTTTCCTTTATTTCTTCTAAGTCCTCTATTAATTGCTTTAGGGAGGTGGTGAGACAGTAGGATGACAGCGTTTCTAAGTGGAGGTTTGAAATACCAGTTTTATCTATGAATTGTATATGAGGACCATTCAGCACTGGTTGTGTTAGTCTCCTGCAGGAAAGGCTTTTCTGTGGCTACTCAGGCTAGATTTGTTGCCTGTGTTGGAGTGAAACTCTAATGTGAATCAGCATAGAAAGTGTGTGTTTGTAATGAAAAATGTTGTCCATCTTAAAGTAAATTTTTATCACCACTACTGAACAAATTCTCCATGCTTTTTTCGTAGGTAATTAATAATGCTTGTGCTACTCAGGCCATAGTAAGTGTGCTTTTGAATTGTGCTCATCAAGATATCCATCTAGGAGAGACTTTGTCAGAATTCAAAGAATTTTCACAAAGTTTTGATGCAGCGGTAAGTGCTTACTATTTTCTGTATTTCAAGTATTACAATGTTGTAATATGTTGGCTTAAAATTTAATTTTGTTACTTATTTTCAGATGAAAGGTTTGGCACTAAGCAACTCAGAAGTGATTCGGCAAGTTCACAACAGTTTTGCCAGGTAACATATGTTTTAAATCTAGGCAAAATTTGAGCATATTCTTTCTCATCTCAGGTATTTTCAATTTGTCTTTGCAGACAGCAGATGTTTGAATTTGATGCAAAGTCTTCAGCAAAAGAAGAAGATGCATTTCACTTTGTAAGCTATGTTCCTGTTAATGGAAGGCTGTATGAACTAGATGGCTTAAGAGAAGGGCCAATAGATCTAGGTAATATTTCATATTTTTTCTGAACATCCTTCTTTTTTACAATAGCTTATTGTAACAAATTGGTGGTATGTTACAGGAGCAAACCAAGTTATGTATTAAAATAAAGCATATGTTTAAAGTTTTCTTAATGTGCTATTCAGGCTTATACTTCTTTGCAGTCATTTATATTGCTTTATTTTTGTTGGCATGAAAATGCAATTTTCATGTTGCTTCCTCCATGTTTCTGATTATCTCTCTATTCATTCAATAATCGGTTGAATAGGCTGTGCATTCGAGGAAGCTTCTAATATCTGAATAGTTTTGTTGCAAGAGAGAGGGTTACATAACCCACCGATCATGGATGTTTGTTCTCCTTATGTTAGGAAATACGTTGTTCTGAGCTGTCTCTAGCAAAACCTGGTAAAACTATGTAATCTTTTGGCTTTCCTTACCCATAGTGTGCAACTCCTTTTGATAATATTTTTCCCCACATCTTCCTTTTTGTGCTGTTGTCACCTGAGACAATTCCGATGTCGTGTTTTCAAAGCTGCTTTTTTTTTTTTTTTTTTCCTAGGGTGACTATAAGCTATCCATTTATTTTACTGTTAATTTCTTCTGTGGGAGCATGTATAGAGCTGGCTCCATATGCTTCTTGTATGTTATGTGTCTGGCATTTACACAGTGCCCTCATTCTTCTTAGGTAGCAAACAGTGGTTTAAAAAAGAATAGCTACTTTTAGCATATTTTGGTTCTCTGTAAGGCTAGTTCATATTTCATGTCTTGTAATCTTTCTTAACTTGCGGGGTGTGCCATCTTGGGTCTTGAAAAGTTCTACGATGCTTATCCTGTGTGTGCACTTTTCAGCCTGATATAATCTCGACATGTTCCACACTCCATTTCCAGAGTGTTTCCCAAGTTTTCTTGACCATTGCATTTATTTTTAGGCTGAGCAGTATGTTTCTGCTAAATCTCATCTTTAATCTGGTTAAAGAGACTATACAGTCTGCAGACTACCAGTAACATAAATTTTATGGTAACACGATCATTAGTCTCTTCATTTGCTGTGAGGTCTTGAAATTGTTAGATGCATTATCAACTTACAAAATCACCTTTAGTTATTCTCTCATTTATCTTAAAATCAAGTTATCTATTATATATCCTTTTATGCTTTTTTCTGTGTCTGACTTTTTACCATTGCATGGCATCTACATAGTATTAACTCTTCATTTAAATGGAACAGCTGTAACTATCCGTACTTTTTTGTTTTGCTATCTACTTGTATGTTGTCATACCAACTAATTTGTGTCATACAAATCTTATGTAACATACTTACCCCCTCCCGATTTTCCTTATTATCAATAAAATAAAGGTTAGATGCTTATGCCCTTAAAATTTAGTTTTGCTTCCTTTCTTTGGCCAGTATATTATCTAAATTTTGCTACTAAAAAATGTCTTCCACCTCCTAAAAAAATCACCCGAGTAATTTGAGACTGCAGTTGCCAAGGAAAAACTTGTTATGTACTCTGAAGTTGCTGGATAAACCTGAATTATACAAGCCCTGAATTTACATTTAGTTTTGCAAAGAGGATTAATTTTTTTCTTCGCTTTTTTTTTTTTTGTAGGTGCATGCAATCAAGATGACTGGATAAGTGCTGTACGGCCTGTCATAGAGAAACGTATACAAAAGTAAATGGTCATGATGCTTTTAAGAATATAATACCTTATATATTTTTAATAATTCTTTATTCTTAATTTCTTTCAGTTAAAGGCTTTCAACTGAATTTATGAGGAATGATGAATATTTTTTATTTTTTATCTGCACATCACTGTGTGACTTGACCCTATTGACCAACAGGAGCTAAATGTGATGATAGCCAAGTCTCTTATATTCTGTATTTCTGTATGATTAATCAAAGTAACTATCTGTGTAATGAAGAGAGATCCTACTAGTATGCTGAAAAAAGGGAGAGCAAGATGATTGATTCTGTTAGACAGCTGTGGGTCTTTGCAAGTAAAAGCCAAGAGTGCCATAAAAATAAAGTTTGGGGGTGTGCTTTTAATGAAAAATACTAGATAATAACTATATCACTACAGCTGGTAATTTCCTCAGTTATGTGGTTTGTTTTAGAAATTAAAGCTAGGAAAACACACTGTAGATGTTTTCCTACTTCTCAGCTCTGACCCCAAATGTGTTGGAAATAAATTTGATTTTACACCATTTTTAGAAGATAATTTTCAAAGTCTTTTTCATAAGCAAAACGTTACTACCAAATCACATTTGGAGAATTTAAACTCTGAAAGGACTGCTAATCTAATTGTTGAGTTTACTGTTCACAGTATATGAAGAAGTCTCCAACACTTTCTAACAAGTAGCAGTAAGGAGAAAGTGAAAACTGCTGTGTGCAGCAGGCTTGTGGAAGTTTTGTTATCAACTATATCAAGTTTTCCAAGGCCTACAATTCTATGAATCTATGTTTTGTTTTCTGCTTTGGACAGTCTCAATATTTACTTTTTATGACTGCAGACAGGAATTAGTAGTATCTTGGAAGAGGAGGTTATTATGAGTTACTGGGTAGCGTTCATCTGAGGTCTGATTTTATTTCATGTCAAGATTAGATCTGTAGTACAACTTAATAACCCATATGCATTTTTTTTTCCCTACAAAATGCATTCCCTTATAATAAAATTGTAGAGGAGGTTTCTGCGTGGTCATGCTGATAACTGATTTTGCAAGTGTTTTTTTTTTTTTTTCTTTTTTGTTCCTCAGATACAGTGAAGGTGAGATAAGGTTTAACTTGATGGCTATTGTATCTGATAGAAAGATGATATATGAGCAGAGGATTACAGAATTACAGCAGCAACTTGCAGAGGTAGGCCATGGTATTTAAGTTATTGGAGTAGTTCTCTGGTAATAGTTCTGTGTCCTTGCTTTATTATTCACCTTCTTCTTTCCTTGCTCCAAATACAGTATCACTAATAAAAAGCACAGCACTAGAAAAAAGACACAGAGCAGTGCTTTGTGGATGCACTAATACGGCTCTGGTTAGTTCTGTGAGAGCTAATTTGAGCTCTTGGCACAGTATAACCATGTCGTTATGGCTCTCTGTCTTGACTAATTTGCCACGGTAATGGAACTATCCTTTTCCTAGTTCCTGACATAATCTGCTTATAGTTAACTGCGGAAATTCATTGAATGTTTCTAATCTTTCTGTGATTACAAATACTCTTATGACTTAATTTAATTAAATAAAAAAAAAAACAACCTTAAAAATTGCAAAAATGTCTTCCATTTAACATTTTTCTGTTTTGTGGAAGGAGGAGCCTATGGATACAGATCAAAGTAGTAATGTGTTAAGTTCAATACAGTCAGAAGTAGCAAAGTACCAGATGTTAATTGAAGAAGAGAATCAAAAATTAAAAAGATATAAGGTATGTAGTGTTTGCTTTTCTGATGAGATTACTGGGAAAGTTGTAAGACAAAGGTGGGTTTTATATCTATTGGAGGATGTTGTAATTAATCTGAAGGAATTGGGTGGGTACTAGAAAGAGAATGTACAGACCAAGACTTAAGTTATAAAGTGTGTTGTTTCTTGTCTCTAAAGCAGTGTTCCTAATAGTATGTGGAAATATTGTGGGAACCGATTAAAAGTCTACTTTTTTAGTTAGGGTATCTACTTTGAGTCTGTGGAGGTCTTTCAGTTGAAAAAGCAAATAATATCCTATCTTGCTGAACGATTTAATCACTGTAACAGCTGCTAAGTGTTTAGTATAACAAAATAGGCATGCTTTTGCATTACAGAAATGTTAAAGTCTTCTGCCTAGGCAGAGCTATGCAGGGTACTGTAAAAATACCTGGGTCGAACTGCATAAGTTGAGGAAAAAAAATAGTTTAGGTAACAGTACTTGTCAGTGTTACAGCAGTGACTAAACCATATAACCTACTTAATCATTGTTTCAGCTAGTATGACAAAAGACTTTAAGGAGAATTTGTGCCCAAAGCAGTAAATTAATCTGTCATGTACTTTATGACTATGTGCTCAGAATTTTATTGCTTTAATTTTATTTTTAGCTGGTTGAAATTTAAGAAAGAATTTCAGATTCAGGGTCGGGGGTGGGGGAATGGTGCAGTAACAGGAAAGGGAAAAGTCCCCATTTAGCCATAAAATAATCCTGTTAATGCTTTTAATCTATTTTTAGATTGAAAATATTAGAAGAAAACATAACTACCTGCCTTTCATCATGGAATTACTAAAGACATTAGCAGAGCATCAACAGTTAATACCATTAGTAGAAAAAGTGAGTATTTCCTAGCTAACTGTCAAGAAATAGTATATTACTATAATTCTTCATGCCTTCTACTTAAGATTATAAATACAGCCAAATATCTTGGAAGTGTAAATGGCATGGGTTGGTTTATTTAATCTGCTCCGTTCACATTCACTGCTAGTTTACCTGATACTCTTGCAGTTCTTATGAGACACAATTCTAACAGAGACTGGAGATTGTAGGGTTAACCAAATTTCACTATTACACAGAGGCAAATTGTATCTCCCCTTTGATAACCTACACAAACTTTTTCTGATGGTGATATAACAAGAAGCAATTCAATATCAGATAAAAGATCACGTTGTACAAGAGATGCATGATTTGGGCTTTTCTACAAAGGAAGTTAAAAGTCCCAGTAAAATTCTGATGTGTATCTCCAGTTTAGTATGTGGTAGAGTTCCCCATCCTATCCTGATATCCCTTTTTGAACTGAAGACTATTTGAATGTATGCATACACAGACATGTATGTAAAGATTGATCCCTCTTCCATACTTGGACTGTTAATACTCTGTTTTGTTGATTTACCTACGTGTAAGCACTAGATGGCAACCTTTGCACAGAGGTTCTGGTAGTTTAGGTAGCCTGAAATTTGTACTCTCTCTGTTCTTATACTGATAATCTGGCTTGTTGTTTTCCCCTTTGTAAGGTGTCTAGCTACTAACATTGGTTTGCTATTAAAGTTTGTATTAGGCTTGTTGATTAAATTACTTTGGCAAGGTTATTTAACTGTATGGCTAGTCAGGTACTTGAAGTAGAGTGTTTGTTTGCGTATCTACTCTTGTGCCATAGAGAGTATCCCTAAATTTGAACTCGGACTGAAAAAGGATCTCTATTACTATAATAAAAGAACTAAAGATCACTTAATGAGTATGTTCTTTAGCTGAATTTCCTTAACAAAGTATGTGTAGGCCATACTTATAGTTTATAAGGCAGTAACTTTTGGATTATTTTTTTAATATTTTCCTTCTTTGGGTCGTTTGTGAAGTTTTAATCTGGTTTCATGTTAATAGGAGTTATGTATAACACCAGCAAGCTTCTTTTACAAGTAAATTGCCAGTGCACCTGAGCAGCTGGTGATAACAGATCTTGATTCTAAATCACTGACTTAGATCCAGTTCTGCTCAATAGTAAGTGGTAATAAGTAGCAGTCTGATTCAGAATGAACAAATGATTGCATCTGAATTGTCCTTTCTTCTTGCCTAATCTTTTTTGACTAAATTTGTAAGGAAGAAAATGCTCGTTCCTTGTCAATTTGAACTATCTATCTGTTGATACAAGTAGCATAAGATTCCATTCACAAATACCTTTGCTTTTTTTCCCTTTCTGCTGTTTTGAAAGATCTAGAAAACTAAGATCTTGGTTATTTTAGTTTAATCTGTGATAACCAGTATTTCTGAATGCAGTGTTTTCTTGTGAAATAAAATCTCATTAAGAACAGTTATTTCAGTGTTAAATTAATATGGAGGTATAAAAATGAAGGTTAAATTCTGTTTTAAAAATAGAGCTGTTCTTAATCTCTGCTTTCCCTCTATGAAAGTTACCTAATACTAGTTTCTTTCTTATTATTGTATTTAAACCTATGTGTATTTTGAAAAGCTTTATGCATGAACCTAATAGTAGGATGTTGCTGAAGGATATAAATTTAAATTTAAAATGTCTCTTACTTCAGCATATTTTGTTGAATGTTCAAAAGTGTAATGAGTAGTCATTCAAAGCTCCAAAAAGAAAGTCGTTGTCTTGTCAGAGTTTAATATCATCTCCCTTTGTTTTCTAGGCAAAAGAAAAACAGAATGCCAAGAAAGTTCAGGAGGCCAAGTGAAGATGACTTTGCAATATACATACAATTATGTGCTTCCGAAACTATTTTCATGACAAGAAATAAAACTTTTCATAAACTTCGAATTTTGTCCAGCGCACGTTTGACAGTTGAAACAGTTTGTCTTGTACTGTATGCACGGGTCTAATTTTCTTCCTTCCCCTGCATCTTGTGCATGTAGTACCGCTAACTAATGTCTAGGTTCTCTTGGTCAAATTCAGTATTTAACAGTCTGTCTGATTTCTGAAAGCTTGGGAAGTGGGCCTGATAATATGCAAGGAAAATGTACCCATTTTGTCCCACTTGAGTATATGATAATGATGCAAATGCCAGAGTTGTGTAAGCATGAGCTTTTTTTGCTCATCCCTACTAACAATTATAATACTATCCAATTGTTCAGTGACATACCGTGTCTTTTGTTTTTATGAAGTATGTGTTCTAATTTTTTTACGAAATCGAAAAGTATAAATTTAGCTCTAGAAACATTTGCAAAGACCAATGTGTAACCTCAGAAGTTCTGCATTGCTTTAGTAGAAAAGATAATAAATATTCCCATTTTTATTTTGGCAAAATTTCTTCTGTGGTATTTTATTATTAGATGAGATGATTAGAAGGTCATCAGCCTTGTGACTGAGTATAGGTGTTTTCTAAACTTGGATTAGAAAGAAGGTACGCTACTGTTTTGGGAAGTTAAAGCTCTTGGATACAAGGTAGTACTTTCCTAGAGTCCATTAAATTTAAGTCTGCAAAGCAGTGCTTTTTAGCTGACCATGGCAGGTAATTTAATATTAGGAAAACATATATTGAAGATTCTTGTGGATAACAGTGTTGCAATGGAAAATGCTTGAACTTTCTTCTGTAGACCAAAGGGAATGTCTGGAGATTGGAGCTCACATAGTGTTCTGCCTCTTACTGCTGCTTGTATGTCAACATGAATAGGCAAATAATTTTGGTAAGGATAGTAATAGGCCATTTGAATTACTGAAACGCTGTTAAGTGTGTAGTGTATATAAATTCATTTAGGAAACTTCCCCTTTCTTCCTAAAAGACCAGGAGAAGAAACAGAAGGAAAAACAAGCAAAAGAATTTTGAGTATTTGGAAAACGTATACAACCAGCAAAAGATACATTTCACTTACTTTTGCATATAGGCATACTTCATTGAACTGTGAGGTCCTTTAATCTTGTAGGCTTATGAGGTAAAAACATACTATATTTAGGGATTTTTTTTTTAAATAGCAGGTAAAACAAAGTCTGTTACCTGTTGGTGTTTTGTATATATTGAAAGGATAAAATTTTATCACAAGAAGTAAAACCTATACTGTGCTCTTCTACTGCTGAAAGGATGCACTTGAGTCATTGCTGTGGCTGGAAAGGGAAGATCTGTTTCAGAAAAGAACATGTGATCCATGCCAATGTTTTATAAAAATTGATCAGGTTGATGAGAACATAAGCTGTATGTGGGGGTTCCCTACTTCAGCAATTCATTGCAGCAGTTTAGGTTTAGGGGAGGGGAAAACTTCCTCTATAAGAGGCCTTTCTGATTGTATCCATGCTTTTATGAAGTATACTTTCATTTCTTTATATATGAGAATAACTTCTACTGCAAGCAGTCTTTCTGGATTTGTAGAATGAAGAAAGAGGATGGATGTAAAGATTTAATTTTAACGAAGTTTGTTAGCTAAATGTGTGAGTGAAAAATGTTTGGTATTTTTTTTAAATAGGGTATTTAATGCAGAAGTAGAACAACTCAAAACTAGTTTTGAGTACTAGTACTTTGTTATATTTAGAATCTTTGTTTTTTCTCTTGATCAAAACCCATTTTTGACCATTTTCACCAAGTTTGTAAAACCATTTTTCAGAATGTCTATCTTGGTTTTAGAGGCAGTTACTTGTATGTTGCCTACTTTTAAGACAGTAGTCCGTCACATAAATTTAAAACTGTATATGAAGTCAATGGCTCCTGGTTTTACCTGGGATAGGGTTAATTTTCATCCTAGTAGCTGGTACATTGCTGTTTTGCATTTATATGAGAATAGTGTTGATAACACCGATGTTTTCGGTTGTTGCTAAGTAGTGTTAGTATACTAAGTCAAGGACTTTTCAGCTTATGTGCTGCCAGTGAGAAGGCTGGAAGAGCCCAAAAAGCCAGGATGGACATGGCCAGGACAACTGACCCAAACTGGCCAAAGGGGCATTCCATACCATATGATATCATGCTCAGCATATGAACTTGGGGGGAAGGGACTGTCTGGGCCTTGGGGTTGAAGGCTGTGGTTAAACCACAAAAGTGATTACCAAAATAAAGGTGCTAAAAAAAGGTCACAATAGAGATTAGAGCTTTAATCCATCTTATAGTTTTTAGATGCCATATTTTTCTGTATATAGAATGACAAAAGGTTTGTGTTCTGATTTATTTCAAGGGCCACTGCTTTCTGCTGATATATGGTGGGGCGTAGGTGTCAGAACTGAAATTTGGGTATAATGCGTATAAACCGAAAGTTCAGTTTTTGTGAAGAATTCTAACTTACAGCTGCTGTTTCCTGTTGCTGGATAGAGGTCAGTGTGTCTTGTTGCTAAAAGTTTAACATTAAATCCCAACATAAAACTTCAGTGTTATCTCATACCATTGTTCTTTGGCTGCAGTCTTAACATGGTGTATTAAAATTTAAGGGCCCTGCTGTAGCCCAATGTCTTCCTTCAAAGGGTAACATTTTATGAATTACTTTAAAAAACAAATTTGGTATACAGATGCAAAATTAAAATACAAATTTTCATGTTCACCAGTGTTTTGATTTATGAGTGAATAGGTGCCCAAAGATGTGGAAATGCAGTAGTCTGGATTTTGGGTAAGAGGGTGAGAAGAAATCAGTGAGACATACCACAAGACTCATTGTTTGCTTCAGAGAAAAGATTATTTTTTTTCCCTGAATTACTCAAAATTTGGTTTTGTCACACAAAAGTCAGATAGAATGAACTTGTAGCAGAAGAGTTAGTTACCCCTGAGCAGAGCGAAGTATCAGAAGGAAGACTGGATCCAGATGGTTGGGGTGCTGATGACACAGTCCTTTTGCTCTGTAAAAGGAGACGGGGAGATTCTTGAACAATAAAAATTGTCAGGCATATACAATGCCTGTGGTTTTGTATCTTTAGGTGTTTATACTTGCTTACATCTGTTCATGAAAATGGGCTATTCTTCCATTTGAATTGCAACATCTAAACTCCTACAGCTGGCTGTTTGATTTAGTAGTGCAAACCTGGGTTTTCTTTAAGTTCATGACATTGTTTTTAATAAATGAGTGTTGCAGGGAAGATGGTAATGAAATCTGTACATATGCATATCAGCTTCTTACCTGTCAGATCAAGTAGCAGATTTATTTATTTTTATGATGCTGTAGAGGTAGAAAATGGAGGTGTCCTGGGTTCAGCAGTAGCAGTCATGTTTCTGCTTCGTGGTAGCTGGCGCAGTGCTGTGTTTTGAGTTCCAGCCTGGGAGCAGTGCTGATGATACTGATGTTTTTGGTTGTTGCTAAGTGATGTTTATCCTGAGCAAGGACTTTGTGAGGCTCATGCTCTGCCAGGGAGGAGGGGAAGCCGTGAGGAAGCAGAGACGGGGCGCCTGACCCAGGCTAGCCAAGGAGGTGTTCCATACCACAGCACATCATGCCCGGGCTGGGGGGTAACTGGTAGTTACCCGGAAGGACACGGGCTTCCGGGTGGGACTCGTTTTCTTGGCCGGTGGTATCGTATTCTCTTGTTATTTTCCCTTATCATTGTTGTAGTTGATAGTAGCGGTGGTGATTTGTGTTGTACATTGGTTGCTGGACTGTTCTTGTCTCAACCCGTGGGAGTTGCACTCTTTCGATCCTCCTCCCGTTCCTCTGGGAGCGGGGAAGGGGAGAGCCCCGGGGTGGGGGGGGTGGCCCTCGATTGCTCTCAGCCCGGCACCGCTCACTGGGAGTGAGTGAACAAGTTGCCTGACTGGGTTTAAACAACGACAGTTCTTTTTGGCGCCCAACGTGGGGCCTGAGGGGTTGAGATAACGACAGATCTGTCCAGATTAACAGTCACTCATCACAATGCTGATTTATTGGCTCTCAAGGTTGTTCCTCTTGATCTCACGGTTTCAGTATATCGTACCTTACTTCCATCCGGTATTGGCTGTATTAGTGTTTTTCAAGTGTGGGGCTTGGGCTAAGGTTTTTGTCTCATTGTACTTTATGGTAATGACTTGTAATACAATAGAATCATTGATCATGAAACTGATCTGGCTTATGTTCCCAGTGTGCTCACCACCTTTATACTTTGGGAGGTATATAATAGAAGTGCTTAGCAATTTCACATCTTTTTTCTCCTTCTCAGGTGTTCAACCTGTGAAGGAGACATCCTTTTACCCTCCCAGTCCTCCCCCCAGACCATTTGCATTTGAGAGTTTTGAAGTTTTTGAATGGCCTTTTAATGCTGTTGAGACTTGTTTGCTGATCGTGATGGGAATCACCATGCTAACATGCATACAGAGTGTTTTGCCCACGACTGATTTCAAGAGTTAAGCAGAGTCAGGTTTGGGTCTTGTCTGGGGTCAAACAAAGATGTAGGAGGACCAAGAGATTTTCCCTGAGGCTGGACAGCCATGAGTGGCAGGGTGTGGGGGATAGTATGGGCAAGTATCTAGGTCAGTGGGCCCCTCCAGTACTTTGGAATTTCACTACCGAACAACGGCAAAATCCAGAAGAATTAGTAAAACACTTAAATGAGGTGTGTGGTCATTCTGGCCATACCAGAGATGGACAAATCATGGCAACGTGCTGGGGCTTGGCCTGTGCTTACAGGGCCTTGTTCAACACTATCCAGCACCTTCAAAAGGAAAAGAATATCGGCAGATCTGAGGGCAAAGCAACAGCCAGCACAGCTACTCCAGCTCCAAGCACAGCAGCTTCACCACCCCCAGCGACAAGTACAGTCATTACTCAAACTTTGGCTGCAGTGAACAGCGCAGCTACCCCAGTGGCAAGTACAGCAGCTGCTCAAACTTTGACTGCAACAGACAGCGCGGTTACCCCAGCTCCAAGCACAGCAGCTACACCACCCCCAGCAACAAGTACAGTCACTACTTAAACCACAGTGATAATTACTGTGGCCAAACTAGAGGACCAATTCGTACCAATATCGGTTGCCCCTGTACGCAAGAGAAAAAGCTAAAAAGAGGCAAGAAGGGTGAAGCAAGATGAAGAAGCAATGAATTCACCACCCGGTCTAGCATCTGATCAGGAGTCTTCATCACATGACGAAGAAGAAGAGGTAACTTCTCGACCTCGGACCTCAACTGAGCTGCGGAATATGCAAAAATATTTTACCCGTCAACCAGGGGAGCACATCATCACCTGGTTACTCCGATGCTAGGACAATGGGGCCGATGGTCACGAACTAGAAGGTACAGAAGCCAAGCAGCTGGGATCACTTGCTAGAGAAGGGGGAATTGACAAAGCAATTGCAAGAGAGAAAAAGTCCCTCAGTCTTTGGAGGCGGCTCTTGGCAGCTGTGAAAGAAAGGTTTCCATGCAAGGACGATGTTATGAG